TTAAAATGCAAAGCAACTATAACAAATCTCACATTGAAATTATGAATTTTATTTTTATTCACAAACTGATACTGATGATTGATTCATTTTACTCACTTTTATGACACCGCTTGATATTAAAATATTAACGTGAAATACAATTTTGTGCGCTGATCTTTTCTAGACAGTGTCTGTGTGGTTTGTCACTTCCTCTTTCTCTCAGTGTTAACTGAGTCATGGACGTTTCTGAATGAATGTATTCATCAAATCAATGTTCTCTCTCTGTTCTGCAGTAAAATGGCCAAGCTGGAGGAGCTGGAGGAGCTGGACCTGAGTGGGAACAGGCTGAAGGCGGTGCCAACCACCATCATGAACTGCAGACGCATGCACACACTAGCAGCTCACTCCAACTGCATCGAGGTGTTCCCCGAAGTCCTGCAGCTCACCGAGATGAAGGTCACACTCTTTCACACACACACGCTCACTCATACACACACACACACACTCATACACACACACGCCCACACTCACTCACACACACTCACACACTTACACACACACACTCACACACTTACACACACACACTCATACACACACACACACACTCATACACACACGCTCACACTCACTCACACACACTCACACTCACACACTTACACACACACACACACACACACACTCTCTCTCACTCATACACACTCACACACACACACACTCTCTCACTCATACACACTCACACACACACACTCACTCTCACACACACACACACAGTCACTCACACACACACACACTAACACACACACACACTCTCTCACTCATACACTCTCTCACTCATACACACTCTCACACACACACACACACACACAGGTTTTTATACTGTACAAACTGTATGTGCTGTTGCCCTACACCTAAACCTACCCCTTACAGGAAACTTTGTGCATTTTTACTTTCTCAAAAAAACTCACTCTGTATGATTTATAAGCATTTTGAAAAATGGGGACATGGGGTAATGTCCTTATAAGTCACCTTCTCCTTGTAATACCTGTCATAACCATGTCATTATACAAATCTGTGTCCTCATATGTCACAAAAACACTCACACACGCGCACACACACACACACACACACACACACTCATACTCATACACACTCACACACGCACATGTAAATGATGTTATGGATTGTTTTTCATATGTTTCTGTGTGTGTGTAGTGTGTGGATCTGAGCTGTAACGAGCTGAGTGAGATCACTTTACCTGACAGTCTACCTCCTAAACTTCAAGAGCTGGATCTGACGGGAAACCTGCGGCTGAATCTGGACCACAAGACCCTCGAGCAGCTCAAGTAAGAGCACGTGTGCATGTCTTACACTTCTGCCAATTTCTTTCTTCTTAAAATGAGTGATATCAAATTAACACATTAGTTCAGTATCATTAATTACAAATTTTAATTAAAAATTTCCTACAATTGTAAAAACATGTTATTTTGCTCAGCGCATTCAATTGAATAGGTTACAAAATGTTACGAAAATAAATTAAAAACCTTAACTTATCAAGCCACTTCTTCTAATATCTGTCCAATGCTTTCGACATAATCTGATATAATAATGTCTTTGAAATGTCTTCATTTGGGCCAGTGTTATTGTAGTATCTTTGAGATACAATTGTAGTTTTTATTAATATTTTGAATTCATTTTTTATTTTTATATTTTAATTTTAAGGTTTTTGTAATGTTTTTTTTAGATTTCTATTCATTTTTGTTATTTTTTTATATGTCTAAATAGTTTTTATTAATGTTTGTTTTAGTTTTGGTTATTTTTTTTATATCAAGTTTAACTAAACTAAAATAAGAAATGTTACATTGGCAACTAGATTAAATAAAAAGTGACTGTTTTTCCTAAATACATAGTGTCTCTCAGCATCATGTGCCAACAAAGGCTCTCTGTAAAACACTTTTCCTCAAAATTCCTCAAGTGTTTGTTTTGGACCATGCTTGTGTATATGTGTGCCATTCAATAATACATGATATCTTCCACATCTTTTCAGTAACATCCGCTGTTTCCGGATAGACCCGCCCCCTTCCTCGTTCTCAGCCAATGAGGTGGCAGGAGGGCCGGCTGTCTGGAGTCACGGCTTCACCGAAGCCTCGGGCGTCAAAAACAAGTGAGTGTGTTGTGCATCTCAGCGCTCGGAGCTGCTGTGTGTGGCGTCAGTGACCGTGTGTGTGTGTCTACAGACTGTGTGTGGCGGCTCTGTCGGTGAACAGCTTCTGCAGCAGCAGAGAGGCTCTGTACGGCGTGTTTGACGGAGACAGGAACGTGGAGGTGCCGTATTTACTGCAGTGCACCATGAACGACATACTGGCCGAGGAGCTCCACAGGACCAAGAGCGAGGAAGACTACATGACCAACACCTTCCTCGTCATGCAGAGGTAATGCACACGCAGCGGGTTAGCGTGTTAAATGATGCAGGACAAAAACAAACTCTTATATTTCTATCATATGATGTAGTTTAGCAATATCACACCAGCAAGTGTGCTGATTTTCCCCAATCTCTCCACCCTTGCAAATGTGATATTGATTTGGTACAACAGTTCAATAAACAACACTATATTGTCAAAATTGTCCGTTTTTTCAATTTTGCAAACAGAGTTCCAAAGTCAAGTGATTCAGTGACTCATTCATAAAGATAAAGTGAGTCAGTGGCTACGTTTACATGCAACCAAATAATCAAGTTGTAATCAGATTGACGGCTCAATCGGACTGAAAAACCTTCATGTAAACACCTTAATCGATCGGATTGAGCTCGATCAGAATTGAATTTCGATCGGATTGAAGGGGGTGGTTTATTCCTTTTCTAATACGATTGAGAGTGCATGTAAACATTCGATCAGATTGAACCCTGAAACTGAAAGCAGAAATAGCGTAATGACGTATGACGCGCAGAACGAGCGGCTCTTCCTTTTTGAATAAAGTGTTGTATAAATGCGTGTCCTGTCATTATAAACTCTCCTTTCACTCGGCGACTGTGAAGTGGAGCAGGACAACCTCCCACCAGTCCTTGTTTTGGATTCTCATCCACAGGCAACCCGTCTTGGACACGGGGAGCGGCATTTTTACTGCGTGATAAATATGAGCAGCACAGCGATTTATTTGAAGAAATGGATAAATATTAATTCTGCTGTTGAACGAATTGGTTGAATGAATGATTCAATGACTCAATCATTAAGACAGCGACCAACACCTACTGGCGCTTTTAGTTTCATATTTGAAGCATCATTTAATTTTTTTTTAGTTGATTCATATTTAATTTTTTTTAAATTCCATTAATTCCCATTTAATATCATTATTTGTGCAATGTTGAATCAAAATATTTCTTTCTAAAGCAAATTTTTGTAATATCTATTCAATGCTTTTTTTTTTCATTTAACACAATAATGACTTTGTTTTTATGTGAATTTATGTGCGATTAATTTGCACTTCATTTATCGGCACATCATGTAATTAATTAGATTAAAAGTTTGAATCGCTCAATAGCCCTACTAAGTATGTCTGTCCGTCCGCTCTGGGTCGAACAGGAAGTTGGGCACAGCAGGGCAGAAGCTGGGCGGTTCGGCGGCGCTCTGTCACATCCGGCACGACCCCACTGACCCCGCCGGCTGCTTCACCCTCACCGCCGCTAATGTGGGCAAGTGTCAGGCGGTGCTGTGCCGCGACGGCAAGGCGCTTCCGCTGTCACTGCTGCACAACATCAGCATCAAGGAGGAACACAACCGCGTGCAGCAGCATAAAGCCATCATCACTGAGGTACGAGAAACACTTTCCACCGGCACTGAGGTCAACATGAGATGAACGTTCGTTTCACTGTGTTCCTGATCTTATTGTGTGCACCCTATTCCAAAGAAAAAAACTCTCGTTCATCAAAATGTAATAACTTCAACTGTTAGTCCATCTTAACCAATAGCTGTTTGAGGTTGCCTTTCTGGGATTTCACCAGTGGTTAATGCAGTAAATGAATGCTGTTTAAACACTAGATTGGAAAATAACATTAGCATTGGGGTACGTGGAGGCTTGCATTAAGATATTCTGATATGAAACGTCCATTTTTCATCACATTAAAGGCCCACCTACAGTTTTATTAGTTAATGTGAATCACATTAAGGAAATGAACTGACATTTCATGTTGACTTTCAGGTGGATTCTGCTTATCTGTTGCTTTTATTGGAGTTAAATGGATCGTTCACCCGAGAAAAAATTATTTTGAATTCAAAAATCAAGTGATATTTGAAGAATATTTCAGCTCAATAGCCAGTGGAGTCCAACAGTTTCAGGCTCCAAAAAGTAGCACAAAGTAGTCCACACAACTCTTCTGAATCACTTTGTATGATGAATGGAGCAGTTATTCACTCTTAAACTTCCTGAAGCGAGTGAGTAATATTGAACAACAACTCAAATTTCGACTTCAAACCATATCGCTTTAGAAGACCTGGAGCAACGCCACTTTTATACACCGTAACAATTATTTGTTGTGAATAAAACAAAGATTATTGGAGTGTTTTACAAGATACTATTTCTTAGTGTTACTTGCCATTTCTTTGTAATTATTTGTGAAAAACACACCAGTGTTTTCAGTGTAGCATGTTTATCTTGGAGCTTGGCTGTTTGTTTACAGCTGAACTGTTCTTCAAATCTTCTCTTGTTTTACACAAGGAAGTCATACAGGTTTGAAGCTGAATGTTGGGGTGAGCCATCCCTTTAAAGGGGTCATGACATGGATTTTTGACATGGTTTACTTATAATGTCAATAAAGTTTTTTGCACAAAAAAAACAAACAAATAAATATGTGGAAAAATGCTTATTTTCAACCCTCATTCTGACCCTCTCTCTAAAATGACCTGTTTTAAAGGGGCGTCTCCTTTAAGGCTTTTCAGTAATTGGCCACTGTTATGATTGGCTAATGCCGTTGCATAGGAAACAGAATCAACGCCCCCTCGCTATTGCATGTTTTGACAACATAATTAAAATAAAAGGGTCATTTCCAGACAAAGCATTATGAAATCATTTACTTACGGTTTGTGATGCAGCTACAGTCAGATCTAGCACCGCTTCATCTCTCAACAGATGTTTCTTTGTGACTCTCCATGACACTGTGCCTCGTTTACAAAACAAAATCCTCCATTATCCGAACAATCTTCTGACACAATCCGGGATGCCATTAAAAATAAACTATCCCCTTGTTCCTTACGCTGGGATCCTTCTGATATCTGTACAAAGATGTGAACGAGCTGTTTAAACCAAACTCGACAAAGCGAACGATCTTTCACTGCATTTGTCCTGAAGACAGACTCATATCTGTATACTGTATCCAGTGTAGGCAAGATAGCGGCACTGATTGTAATCTCTATTTTTTGACGTGAAGCGACTCTCGCATTCAGCGTAATCAAGTGTCAGCCATTAGCAACTGAACGCCAGTGGGCGGAGCCTATGCTGAGAAGATGACTATTCGTCGATGTGTTGCTCTGGAGGCGGAGTTTATGCAAAGACTGCGCCCTTGTGACGTCAGCTTGTCCCTCGGATCCAAAACTAGCCGTTTTCTGAGGGTTATTACATAAATGCTTTTTTATTGATGATGAGGACATTTTAAGTTATGAAACTTGCTATTGTATTACACCGTGTCCTAACTACACGCGATAAAAGGTATCTTTTCCATGTTAACTAGCTGCGACGGCGACACGCAAAATTTCTAATTTAGAAATGCTTTCTATTTCTGCGACGTCACGGCTGGAACAACATGCAAGCTATGACAGCGATACTGATTACTATGTGCTTTATTCAAAGTTAAACGTGTCTAATGTGAGTTTGAATATCATTTTGCGTGACCTTATAGCCATACTGAAAGCAACAACAAATCGTATACCTCAGATCTTGAAAATAAATTTAAGCAAAGATGTACGTTAAAACTGTGAACTCAGTGCGAATCAACGAGTGTATTCCATAACAAAGATGGTATCAGACACTCAGTATGTACATTTACTGATGTTAAAAGGTTTAATATTTATGAATTAGATTATAAACATAACCATTTCGTTGCGAGTGCAGTGCGCTTCCAGAGAGAGCCCGCCCACATGTGCTTCTGATTGGCTGTGATATTTGATTGATTCTGTCACGTCTGCTGTGGACAGCCAATTTGCTTGTCGCTGGAATCGTGTGTAGTTAGGACACGGTGTTAAGCATACAAAGACCTCTTCTATGTCAAAAGATCCAGGGAAACTTGGTTTCGTGTCATGACCCCTTTAACTCACATGAACTTATTGTTGTATTAGAATAAGAGTTACTGACCACTACGGCAAATTCCCCTTCTCCAACAGGACAACAAAGTGAACGGCGTAACAGACTCCACACGCATCATGGGCTATTCGTTCCTCTACCCGGCGGTCTTGCCTCGCCCGTACGTCACCACGCTCCCGCTGACCCCCAGAGACGAGTTCTTCATCCTGGGCAGCAGAGGTCTGTTTGAAGTCTTGGACCTTAGCGAGGCGGTGGAAGCCGTACGGAAGGTTCCCGACGCGCTGGCGGCCGCCAAGAAGCTGTGCACGCTGGCGCAGTCGTACGGCTGCACCGATAGCCTCAGCGCCGTGGTGGTGCAGCTCAACGTAGCGGAAGACTGTTGTTGTTGCTGTTGTGCGGCGTCTGCGGAGCCCGGCTCCGGAAGCATGCATGCGCCGCCGAGCCCCGGACTGTTCCCGGCCTCCTCCGCCGGCATGCCTCCGTCCTCCTGCAGCGAGATCAGCTCCGAGGTCAGTGCGTCCGAGATGAGCTCCGAAGTGGGATCCACCGCATCCTCGGACGAGCCGCCGCTCCTGCTGCAGGAGGCGCAGCTCCACCTTCATCCGCAGAGCCACCCCAACCCGCGCCTCCCCTGCTGCTCGCTCCACCTCACTCCCAACTCCGGAAGCTCCTTCCAGAGGCAGCTTTCCAGTGCCACCTTCTCCAGCGCGCTCTCGGACAACGGCTTGGATAGCGAGGACGAGGAGCCCATCGCCGGAGTCTTCTCCAACGGCAGTCGGGTGGAAGTGGAGGCTGACGTGCACTGTCTGCTACCCCTGCCTCCACCTCCTCCACCCTGCACCCCAGAAACCCCGGAGAAGCTTCCGGAGGAGGCTGGGAACCTTGCGGGAGCGGATGCTTGGAGCAAGACCTTGGGGAGGCGGAGGGGAAACGGCTCGGTGGCACCGCAGGAGCAGAGCCACAACTTGATTGAGGTGGCGACTGAAGCTCCTTCTAAGAAACCTGGGGGTTACTTCACGGCGCCGGCTCAGCCCGACCCCGACGACCAGTTCATCATCCCTCCGGAGCTGGAGGAGGAGGTGAAGGAGATCATGAAACAACATCAGCAGGACCAACAGAAGCCGGCCAAGAGCGAGCGACCTGCGGACTACTACGACACGCCGCTCTGAAGCAGGCACTGCATTCTGTCATCATCTACTCACCCTGATCTTGTTGGCTTTAATACACACTTCTTGAACGTAGGGCTGGGCGATATAGCAAAAAGTAGAATCTTGATTTTTTTTTTTTTTCAGAACGTTTGACCGATTCAAGATAATGTCGATTTTAACTTGTCAACTTGAATCATGTTGTAGTTATGTTTTTAAGTAATATTCACTTCCAAAACCATCCATTTAAAGAAAGTTATTTTTCAAGCGTTCCACACGTTTTAGAGGTCGACTCAAAAGATCAAGCCAATTCAAATCAGAGCTGTCAAAATGGCTGAAAAGCTCAATTCGAATTTTGTACTTAAATATTATCAGTATTCGAATTATATTCGAATATAAAATGCATAATTTCAGTTAGGGGGAAAAGGCTTTTGGCTTCTCTCCTGAGGCCACAAGAGGGCGCATCGAGCAAAATATTACTAATGCACATTTATTCAAAGCAATAAAATAACATGACTGTGAAAAAAGTGCATAATGTTTTAAAAAAAAAATGTATAAGCCAAATATAATTAATTAATTTGCGTAAACAATTATAAGCAAAACAGCATTATGTTTGTATGTTTAACACAAAGGGCTGAAAGCCAATCACACAGTACTTTTTCCTTGTAGTGAGAAGGCCAAAAAAATGCCATAAAGTCTTGAGACATGTTTTTTTTCTTACGTTAATTTTACATGGCTTTCTAAACATGCGGCTCTTGTGCGAGACGTGAGTGCGTTCTGTGTGAACGGCTTGGTTTCAGTTTTGACGTAAACAAATATTCCGCAATATTTTGAGTAAACAACGCAGCAGCGCTGCATCTAGTGGGTTCAGCTGGATAGGCTGACAAAAACATTATAATGCAACAACACCTACATCGTCCTTGCACTCCGTGCGCCACTGAAAAAGCTGCCTGACGCACACCTAAAATTAAGATTCAACATTTTTGAATTTGAATGTGGATTTTTATTTTAAATTCGACGAATGTTCAAAATTCTAATTTTTATTTGACAGCCCTAATTCAAATCAAAATGATTCAAAGTATAGCAGTGTTAGTAGGCGAGTATTAACAGTAAATGAGAATAGCAGCAGCTTTGAGTCCGTTAGCATCATGCAAACATCAAATATCAGGCATGCAGTAGTAGTTCTGCACAAGTTTCTGCTTTTCCAGTGTTTATCTACGTAAGCATGCACACGACGGACATGTTTGACCGTTGCACTCGCGTCTTTTGCACCGTTATGCTCATGAAATGGTGCTCTAAAAATGTGGCGTTCCAGTTAAAAGAAGTTGGTCGAGTCTCATAACCTTATGTTTTTCCTGTTGCTCTGCAGCGTCTCGTGTTTTTCAGCCCAGAAACACATGCCGTGTGAATAGTGGCGATATGCTGTATTACACTCCTTCAAAGAGTGCAACACGTTAGCTGCTTCATGTTCTCACATCAGCTGTTAGCAGTGATGGATTGTCAACGTGTCTAATTGTAACGTTTGCTAATGTTTTTATTCAAAACTGTGATTCCTCATAAAATCATGGCAAAACATTAAATTTTAATGAATCGATCAATTTGGAAAATTTGCCCAACCCTACATGCAGTCCTTCGCCTAAAACTAAAGCGTTTCTTGCACAAATGTCACTGTTATGGAGTGAATCAGAAACATGAGCAACAACATGAGGCTGAGTAAATGAAGACTGAATGTGGAGTATCTTCTGCAGTCAACCGATATGAATCCGCCAGTCCTCGACCTGCGACGCCACTTCCCGCCAAATCCACCTGAATCTCAACCAATCCCTTTAAGAGAGAAGGCCAGCGCTCTGAAGCGTTTCGCTAGAGTTCACTACTGATCACTGACTCTTTCACTTTGATTTACTTTAAACCAATACCTACATAATTCAACACTAGTATTGCGATGCTAACTGTCATGACCAATGACGGGACTCTGGACATTTTGATTTCGTTTTTTAGTTACCATATCTTTTTATGCGAGAGAAGCTACAACAGACTTTAAGTTGATTTAAAATCAGAAGATTGCGTTGACGTTGATTGTGTTGTACGGTACACACTAGTAAAACCACGCTTAACTGTTGTAGATAGGGCACTTAATACTGTTGACTCTTCAGTAAATCAAGGCTTCGCGCCTGTATAAAAACTAGAAATTTAGTGGAAATTTGAAAGACTAACTCCTAGGAGTTGCTTACTCTTTTATGGTGACTTCGTCACTTTTTACTAATCTTCTCTGAGAGAAATTGTGATTTTTTTTTCTTTTCCTCTTTCCAATGATTGTAAATAAGAAAAATATTGTATACCGATGCTTTTTAAGGGAACTGTGTGTCTAGAACGAGATGACTCTTTATGCCAATAGATGTATATGTACCAGAAGCATACACACACACCACCTGTAAATGAACTGTGCTTTTGCCCAGTGCTGTCATCACTCGCTGATCAATGAGCCACACACACACACACACACACACGCGCGCACACACACATACACACACACTCACACACTCACACTCTCACACACACACACACACACACACGCACACACAGACGCACAC